CAACCCACACCACTTGTATCAATTCAGGTGGGGGGAAAGTTGGGGTTAAAATGATCACTTTAAAGCACATGGGGGCTGTACCGAAAACTTCTGTTTTGAGAAAGTCGAAGTTAAACTTTTTGGACCCTTGTTCAAATTCTTTAAAAGACAAGTGGATTTTTCTCTATAACCAAACAAATATACACACTTACGGATAGGGTTCAATGAAATTGTGACAAACTGGGCAGCCAGCCACCCCCCACCCCCCAGTAACTGTACATGCTACCATAGCACTCTCAATTACATACTACACACTAAAATCTATGTTGATGCTGACTTTGTCGACAGACCTGTGTCATGATTCATGAAGGAGATAGGGCAGACACTATTTGGAGATGTCTCCGGCGAGCACCCAGGAACTATTGGGAGACGCACTTTGGGGGGTCAAACTGCATATTATTTGCTGCAGACCACACACAAAGCCACTAAAACATTCGCATATAAATTCTTTTCAAGACAATTTCAAACTCAACTGCAAATTATCAATTTATGGGTTAAAACAGACTTTTTTTTACTTGGTCTAGAGGCACAAAGCATTTTCATTGGTCTACTTCCGTTGGAGCCGTCTCCGAATAGACAGTGCGAGGAGACAGCGCAGAGAATGATGACGTCAGCAGGGCCCAGTTTTATCCAGCGTCACGCCACTGGCAGCGATACAGTTCGCTTTTTCCAGATCGCAGCTGGGGATGGAAGGGGTAATAAATAAATGATCACTGTTCTTCTAGCTGTTGTAGTTGAGAGTATTATGTAGGAAATATTATGATAGCTGTATGCTATTTACATGCAGAGCCCAGCGCCATCCCTGTAAAGTTTATGGAGAGTTCAACAGCTTTCCTTCTTAACTTGTGTGTCTTCTTTTCTTTTCAGCCCGGAAAATTTGACAGAAAAACCGAACTCTCTATGAAAAGATTGCAGCAAAAATTAGAAAAGCATAAAATAAATAGAGGTCGTTATATTGGTTTTAAGCAAATCTTTTAAAGAGAGGCTCAATATGGTTCTTCCTGTTCATGATAACATTCCGTTCTCAACCTATCAGCCAGACACAATGTACAGCTAAACTCACATGACGGAGTCAATGTCTCAACAATTTTCCAAGTTCTGAAAACAAAATGTGAAGAGTGCTGACAAAATGAGTTACTTCTCGGCTTCAACTTATGGAAATTGATACATCAACTTGATAAATGAAGTTTGTGCAATTTGTGGGCATGGAATAGTAAAAGACACAGTAAACTTGAACAAAATGGCATCAATTGAAAATCTATAAATCTGACCCCATGGCAGTGTCAATTTTCAGCCGATATCTCCATTCTTTGATCGTGAGAAGTAACTCATAGTATCAGCACATCTCACAAATTATATTGCTGGCTGCTCCAGTTTTCAATTCTGAAATCCGTGGCACTTTGGTTAGGGCATAACTATAACATGCTGACAAGCCCAAAGTATTTAATACCCATCCATCAGAGCTAGGTTTGGCCTAGAAGGGCCAGGCATATAAATCCCTCTTCTTGTCTTAAACTTTTTTGTGGGTGATGAAGTTATGCTTGTAGTTTGAAATATTTCTTTGCATGCAGAAAATGCTATCATAAACACATATAAAAGATAAACTTATGATAGGCTTATGATAGGCTTAAGATAGGCCTAAGATAGGCTTATGATAGGCGTATGGTAGACTTATGAAAGATGTGTAAGAGTTAAACGTTGTGAATGACATCGGTGAGTGTGTAAAGGAAAGCAAAAATTAATGACATCAACAATGCAATCCACCAAAATCACCCACAGAGGGCGATTCACCCACGAAGGACAACAACAAGCCAAGTACTACCAACTCACCCACAAGTACAACTCACCCACAAAGGACATCAAGACAATCCATCAACTCACCCACAAAGAACAAAAAGACAATACAATCAACTCACCCACAAAGGACATCAAGACAATCCATCAACTCACCCACAAAGAACAACAGCAACAAGAAAACTCAAACACAAAGGACAACAAGACCGTCCAATCAACTCATCCACTAAGACAATAACAACAAGACAATACAACAACAACAAAACAACTCACCCACAAAAAACAGCAACAAGAAAACTCACCCATAAAGGGCAACAAGACAATCCATCAACTCACCCCAACAACTCACTCAAAAAGGCAATAAGACAACTCACCCACTGTCATACGTGACCCCATCAGAGCCGCAGACCTGGGGCTGGTTGTCTGGACAAGGTGTGTTGAGAATTCCCTGACAGATCAGCTCAAACACGCTGATGGTCGTGGTGGTCACTGGAGGGGGCGTGGGACATACTCCCAGCAAGGCCAGCTGGAGATCTTTGTTAGAGCACTTGGCTTGTTGGTAGCGACAGCTGGAACAAACACACACATTAATTTTAGTCAGCACGCCGTACAAACAATTATTTGGTCGTGTTTAAGCAAAGGGGGCTATCTCGAAAAATGCTGCTTTTAGAAAATCGAAAGTAAAGTTTTGCCCCCTTGTTCAGTTTATTTAAAAGACAAGGAGAGTTTTCTTTATAATCAAATATACACACCAATGAAACCAAACTTCTCGTATAGGTAGGGCAAAACCCAATTTTGGTGTAGGTCAAGATATCTGGAAAGCTCCGAAATGTGGCTTAGCCCGCTTGTCCTTAAAAGCGATTATTTCTTTTCGTTATTCACGAAATGCGTACACGTAGGTAATGGTAGTGAAAACTGTCTTGTGAAAAAAGATAATTTCATCTTCTTGACATCTCAAAACACTAACACCACCACCACCACCTACAACAACTACCAGAACAACAACAACAACAATACCACCACTATCACCACTAGCAACAACAATAACAACAACATCTATAAACGAGGACGCCACCACCACCACCACCACCATCTCCACCAACAACAACAACCACCACCACCACCACCAACAACAACAACCACCACCACCACCACCACCTCCACCAACAACAACAACAACAACCACCAACTCACAAGTTGTCGTAGGTCTTGTTGTCGTTGGCACACACCGGAGAACTGACCACTGGGCAGCTGTAGGAGAGGAGGTCCCTGCAGAACGAATCTCCCACAGCGTCGCTCTCTAAACAACTGCCCTCGTACTTAATGTGGACGTCCGGACGTTGACAGTGCACCTTGGCGAAGTCACAGCTGGGGGGAGGACAGAGAGAGAACATATTAAGCGAGGCAGCGTGGTGGAATCAGGCTCTATTCAAAATAATCAAAGTGAAGAAACGTGCCTTTTTCCTCAGGTTTGTGAATTTGATCATTTTTTTGTTTTTTTGGCTCAACACCTTTCCTGCCTATTAAAGACCTCATTTCTGTGTGGATTTCTCTCTGAAAAACGTTGATTAAAGGCACAGAAATGTACATTTTCAGTTACCACGGACCCTTAACTTAAGGAAATAACTAATCTTTGGCAACCATTTTCTCATTAATGTTACCTCTGAAACGAGGTGACCCACCTCCTTCATTCGCAAATAACTCGACTTGTATTCAACATAAATGGATATTTTTTTCATCCAATTAAAGACAAGTGCTTAAAGTTAAAGGTGATACCAATAACTCCACATGCACAAAAATTGACGAGAGCCTGATTCCACCACGCTGCCTCACATATGTGTCACGACGCTGAGGAATCAGTCACTCATAAATTTTTTGGCATGTGAAGTTATGGTATCAAATGAAAGCCTATTTATTCGCTTTGCTTCCAATGAAATAACTATCCGTGTATCTTGAATAGAGCCAAAGATATCTGCGATTGAAGCAAATGAGGTCTCCTGGTTTCAGTGTTGAAATGTATGAGAAAATGGCTGCCAAAGTTTGGTAACTCCAATAGCTTAACAGTCTTTGAAAACGGAAAAAATGAAATATTTTGTGCCTTTAATCAATGTTTTAAAAATATTTTAATGACATCTCGCCTCTCCTTCTAAAGTCAAATTAACCGAAGAAAACAATCACTCCTTCCACCGGAAGAGGTTTTTTTGTCAGCGTAACCATTTAAAAAAGCGTTTTTCCGAAATTTGAATTCTTATTTATTCAAAAACTTGTTAGTTTCACTCTGATTTTTTTTTCACACAAGTAGAGTAACTCTGTTCGAAAAGGATGTGCATTTACGAAGAGGGCGCCACCAAATTTTGAGGACACTTTTTTTAATTGGCTCAAAATGGGAAGTGGGCCATCTTGTTATGTATCATCATTGACTTTATTCCCAAAGGAGGAACATTTCTCGTTCAAGCATAGTAGAATTGCAAATGGGCTGACTCATGTCCTGCTCATAACTGTGCCTGATCTACAACAGGGAACTGCTGCTTTTTCTTCCCTAATCCTTACTATTGGCATTTTCCTCTACTTCTTTAGTATGTTTGTCACTCTCTTGTGACCCGCTATTTCCGGGGTGCCTTGACAGTCGAAGCAGACTTTGTGCTGTTGAAGCTAGAGATGTGACGCTGCAGTCTAAGTCTGATTCCCTGTAAAGACTTCTCTGTTGACACCCACCCCTTGGCGCTCATATGACCTTATGCAGTTGTGAGCGCAGTAAAACCCTCTACTATATTTTAAAAAATTGACTTTACTTACCCAGAAGGGTAGGTCACTCCATTCGTGGCGCAAATGTTCCTCGGAGTGTCCAAACTGCAGTCTAAAGTAGCAACAACGTTCTTACATAGCGTGTCTGTGGACGTTTGGCTCTGGGTACCTGGGGAAAGAGTTTTTGTTGTCGGATGACATAGTGGAGACACATCATTGATCGCTTTTAAGCACAAGGGGGATGTCCTGAAAACTGCTGTTTTGAGAAAACCGAAGGTAAAGTTTTTTGGACTCTTCTTCAGTTTCTTTAACAGACATGGAGAGTTTTCTCCAAAACCAAACAAATATACACGCCAATAAAACCAAACCTCTCCTATAGAAAGGTAATGCCCACTTTTGGTGTAAGTAAAGATTTCTGGAAACCCCCGAAATCTGGGTTAGTCCGCTTGTCCTTAAAAGCGACCATATAATTTACCTCTAACTAACTAGGTGCTCAATGACTGGGTCTTACCAAACGTGGGCATGGAATAGCTGACTATATCTCTTTACAATGAAGTTTTTCTTTTTAAAATGGTATTCTACTCAGTCGTTACGAGGGTGAATAAAAAAGTATGAAGTATCTCAGAAAACCATATTATATGAAGTGTGTTAACGAAATGAATTACTTCTCACAATTCTAAAAAAGGAGATATCGGCCGAACATCGAGACTAGGGTCACAATTATAGATTTTTAAATGATGCCTGTTTTTTCAAGTCTACAGTGCCTTGAATAATTTCATACTTATAAAATTGTATAAATTTCGTCTATAAAGTTGATGTATTAATTTCCATACGGCTAAAATCCGAGAAGTAACTCATTTTGTCAGCATACCTCACATCTACGTCTAACTAACTAGGTGCTCGATGATTGGGTCTTACCGAACATGTGCATGAAATAACTGACTATATCTCTTTACAATAAAGTTGTTTTTTTAAAAATGGGAGTTGTACTCAGTCATTAAGATGGTGAATCAAAAAGTAATATGTGAAGCGTGCTGACAAAATGAGTTACTTTTACAATTTGTAAGAATGAAATAATAAAAGCAATGTTATAGTTTAATAACATAGTATCGATAAAAAACTACAAATTTGACCCTAATGTCGATTTTTTGGCCAATTTATCGATTTATGGATTGCAAAAAATAACTCATTTTGTCACCACGCCCCACATATGTTTTGAAGTATCTCAGAAAACCAAATAATATTAGTCTTGAGCAGACCAACCACTCCCATATTTTTTCCACACAGCTTATTGACGGTCGTGAGTGTTTATTTTAGCTTTTTGACCCGTTCTTATACTCTTTGTTTTGCGGACTGGCAACATGGAGACATCATTCCGAGTATGTAGTATTTTTCTTCCCAGTTTGCCATGAGATTTCTAATAGATATAGGAATTATTTTTGCTTTAAAGACTATAGTGCATCAACTTTTCTTCCTATGATAAAATACAGAATGAGGTGTCTTTTGTCAGTTGTAACTCATAATATGATTTCAATGTACTCTTTTATGACCACAGTAGTAAGAGCAACAAAATAATTGACGTACTTGTCAGTTTGGTGAACTTTTGAACTATTCAATTGTAACAGATCATGAAGTTAATTTTTTACCAATTTCCATTCAACTGTACATTGGTTAATTTAGGGGTTTTTTTTTTCTCTCAGTCCACGTGCAGGCAGAGACAAACACGTGCTAAGAACCCCCCTCTGTCGACCCTGATTCTCTACTTGTTCCACCCTAAAAAAATGCAAACAGTGCTGTCAGTGGCTAAGTGTCTATATGTGAGGCAGCGTGGTGGTAGCAGGCTCTCGTCAGTTTTTGGGCATGTAGAGTTATTGGTATCATCTTAAAGTTTGTTCACTTGTCTTTATTTGGATGAAAAAAGTATCCATTTATCTTGAATGCAAATTGAGATAGTTGTGAATGAAGAAGGTGTGGGTCACCTGTCTTCAGAGGTAAAATTAGTGAGAAATGGCCGCCAAAGATTAGTTATTTCCTTTTAGTTAAGGGTCCGTGGTAACTGAAAATGTACAATTTTTGTGCCTTTAATCAACGTTTTTCAGAAAAATCCACACAGAAATGAGTTCTTTAATGAGCATGAAAGGTGTTAAGCCAAAAAACAAAAATTTGATAAAAATTCACAAACCCGCGGAAAAATGCAAGTTTCTTCACTTTGATTATTTTGACCAGAGCCTGATTCCACCACGCTGCCTCACACATAATCAAATAATCACTGCTTGCCTTCCTAATTTTAAAACATTGTCGCAGTTAAATTCACCCATTGACGTAAATCTCATAAATTAAAAGTAAAAAAACGTTCATAATAATCACCTATAAACAATAGACTATGCCTAACCTTCAAAACCGTTTCATTGC